AGTGTGTTTCCATATGATCGCAGACGATCGCAGAACTTTTTGCGATCTGCGATCCGCGATCCGCGATCGTCTGCGATCATATGGAAACCAGCCTTAAAATTCATCATATGTCAACTTTATGTCAGGTTTACCTCAACTTTACTCCGGGTGGGGGAAATGTTGGTTTAAATATTTTTTTAATGACATAAGTGATGACGTAAAGTTGTAGACTGCGAGTAGTCCCTCTTTCGCTTAGTCCGTCGTGCGTGACGCGGAAAAAAAACGCGACAAAAAAATGGCCGCGCTCCTCGACCCCAAGATTTCGCGTTGCCACATCACGTGTTTCGGGGCGCAAGGAGACGAAGTGTCACTATTGGTGTCTCGAAAAGCAAAAAATAAATGTGGCTGGAGAAGGCCAGCCTAAAGATTTAAACATTCAACCGCATGGCCAGTACCATGCTTTAAAAACGCAGCGTATCAAATCTGAAAAGACCTACGGTCCGAAAATACATAGATGAGAAACAGAAACAGCAAGGGACCGCATAGGATAAACGTTGCCAACGTAGGATCTGTGAGAGATTACTGGCTATTATGATTACTATTATTGGTTGATCAGATCTCTTGCAGATCCTACGTTGGCAGCGTTTATCGTATGCGGTCCCTTGCAGTTTCTGTTTCTCATTAGTTATGAGCTGGGGTGGAGTAGGGGGGNTCGGTCGGAGGATTTTGGGCTAGAGATAGTAACATTTACCTGATCCCCACTTAAAAGTTTATTTTATTGAAGGGATCCTCCTCATAACTATTAATGAATTTCGTGATTCTCCCCAACCGCCCCTCGCCATGTCTTTGCACACATATTCACCTTTTGCGATGGCCCACAAAAGACACGCTGCAAACAAAAAAGAAACCCTGCAAACAAAAAAGAAACGCTGCAAACTGAAAAGCGAACGCAGCAAATAAAAAAGTACACTGCAAACAAAAAACGAGCGCTGCAAATAAAAAAGATAACATTATGCGCGCGGACTCGGCTAAAGGGACTGGGCAAATTCGTCTCCAGACTCTCCAGAGCTTAAGAAAGTCAGCTTTTTCCCGGGTTTCTCGCGAATTTTGCTGTTCGCCATGTTTTGCTCGGGTTGTGGCTCACGATTATTCTTTGCGGCGAAGTTTTGTCATGGTTGCGGGTTAACAACAGGAGTAAAAGATGATGATTCTTTGTGTGTTGCTGAATTAGAAATGAAATCTTCAGAGAGGAAGCGATCGACATCAAAGCGCTCCTCTCACCTTTGAGGAATATAGAGAAAGAAAAGGAAAGGAACCAAGCTTGATGTTTGTTACTCGTATGTCTGTGAAGAAAGCGAAAAAGGAAAACAGCGAGAGTGAAGTCACCACACATATCGGCCATATAAGGTTAAAAGACGAAGAGCTGAAAGTAATCCGCTTGAAGTGTTGCCATCGATTGGCGCTGAGGAGCTTCTTCGGAAAGGAACCAAAAAGACTGTGAAGTTCAACAGCGATTTAAGCTTATATGGTGCCACCAGTTTTGCGTGGCTGTATCTTGGTAGAACCGAAGTGAAGTGCCTTCCGAGGGGAACGGAACCGTTTACACTACAGCGCTACATAGAGGAACCTTTGAAAGAATACATCTATTTTGGATGCCCGGTTTCTGAAATCACACAAAAGTGATGAAAGTGACGCCGATTTGCCTACTTACGAAGAGGTATAAACATTTTAATTACTGCTTTAGATTACAGTTAATTGTACTGTGGTAGTCACTGGACTCTGTTATTTGATTGATTAGTACTTCAACAGTCCTTCCTCCTGAGCTGCATATTATATAGCTCATAAAATAAATTGAATATCTGAAGGGTTAAAGATTAGCTTGATGTAGCAGTAGTAATTAATGGGTCAGTTTTCATACTTATTGCACTTGATGAAAATGACACAGGAAATAGAAAGTGAAGGAGATACTTGGAGGTCTATGGCAAACCATGCTGTCACAGACAACCTGACAACTAACACATCCACATTCCGCCCAGCTGTCACTTACACAGCTACAAGGAACACATCCACAGACTGCACAGTCCAGAAAGCTACAAGCAACATATCCACAGCTGAGACAGCAGCAAACTCACATACATTAACCCAAGGGATTCAGTCAGCAGTCACTGGTCAGAGCAAATCTGCTTTTGCAAGTTTTTTTTTCTCTAAAAGGTATTTTACTTTTGTCCAAAAATGATGTGGTTGTGACAGTCATAGTCGTATTTTATTCTTTTTTTGTTTGGTAACAGTTTTATACAACGCACCTACCAAAACTTAACTGTGTTTAAAGTACTGTAAAAAAATATTTAACTTCAGAGAAAATAAATAAATTAATTTGAAATTAATTGATTGCTATTCAATATAACTATTAATGTAAAAAATGTTTTAAAAATGTAATAAAAAGTTGTATTGATTCAGGTAAGATATACAGAAGACTAGTCAGGAGAGTGTTTTTAAACAATTATTGGATGAGATTTTTTGTGATATCCAGAATAATCAAGGTCGAGGTAGGGGTTATCAGCCGAAGCCGAAGGCTGAGGCTAATAACCCTTACCAAGATCTTGATTATTCTGGATATCAAAAAAGTCAAATCTAATAATTGTTTATTATACAACAAGCACGGTCATCTGTGGGCTACGCCTTGGTCAGAGACACCGCTACGTCACGCAATACTAGAACCACGCACGCATGACTCTGTGGTAACACCGAGTGTCCTTGACATATGATTACTGTATAATCTGCAGCAAAATGATGTCATAGGCGCTGATTTCGAAAATAAAATGTACACTTTCGGCCAATCAGAAAAGAGATAATTCAATGTATAGTGACATGCGTAATTATTTTATATATTGATTGTTTTGATTGATTTACCTACAGATTGATTGTCCTGTTCACACCAAGCTGAAGTTGTCTGCCAATTCACTGCCAATTCGATTTCTCTTCCAGACTTCCAATCTGCTCTGCCTTTAGAGAATCTTTATGGAATTAAGAGGCCCACTGCCAAAGAGGTTCTTTTCAAATCAAAGCCTGTGAACTGACCAAGAGCGACAGTGCCTGGACCATTTGAAAAGGTATATCCGTTCATTACAGGGAACGTCAGTGTCACTGTTGCTGCAGTTTATCACTGAAAGTGATATCAAAAGCTGTGAAAGTATAGATGTGGCATTCTTAACTCTTGAAGGCGCTTCTCGTAGACCAGTGGCACATACATGTGGACCACTACTAGAAATCCCATCATCATACCAGTCATACAATGACCTGTCAGAAGAATTTAGTGAATTGCTGCAATATAAAGAGGCATGGCATTTCAACATTGTTTAATAACACCATGAAGTGGTGGCTGAAAACTTTACACTTTAAACTTGTGCAGTTTACTTTTTCATCCAGGGGGAAAATCTTCTTTTTTTTTTCCATTTATGGTTAATTATTGTAATCAGGCTTGGATAAGTCTATATATTATTTCTCCTCGATGGTTGAACGACTTCTAAAACTACCTCAAAAATTTCTACGATGTGCGAATTTCCGTTGTACAGGCCACACAACTACGTCGGGACGATCGGCCTGCTGCACGCACCTTGTTGAAGACAGAAAGCTTGTCTGTTTCCTGCATGTGGTCGATATGAAAGCGGAGTAACGATTTGTTATTGAGAAAATTGTACTGAGAAGAGGTGTTTTCGAGCAATTATCGACGGGTTACGGAAAGAGTTTAACTTCCAACTGTTGCTGGAGTGTATTGAATTCCATAAATGCTAAAACTTATGAATTCTCTGCTAATCCTTTAGTTGTACACTAGTAATAGTTATCCCTAAATCTGCCCCCGCTTTCTTTTATTTCTGCTGATTGAAAACAATAATATTGTACATTTTTGTATGAACTAAAAATTCTATTTTTTTTGTTAACTATACCACTTATACTCTTCCAGTAACTTAGGCATCTTACATATACCATGAATATGATCCAAACAATCAATTAAGTTAACTACACCAACACATTCCGTTTAACCCATTCTATCACATGATATTCTTTGCATAATACTCTCACGGAGAATTTGCAGCAGAGCAGTTTACCGTATCTCGTTAGAAAGGACGCGAAAAGTACTTTCTGAAAAAAAAGATAGGTTACCTTCATGGAAACTAATATTTCTTTTACAAAATTTCACTCAGTAGAACTTTATAGGGAAAAAAAGGTTAAAAAATTATAGCGAAACAAAAAATTAAGTCAAACTACTCTGCTGTCCCAATTTGATGCTGAAACAAACCATTTTGTCTTGATATACAAGCAAACGTATCTCGAAAGCAGTACGGAAGTCGAGTTTTTTTTTTCCGAAACGTAAACAGAAGTATCGCGTTACAGTCACCATATATGTAAATTAGAGTCAAGCTTTTTGACCTCAACGAAAACGCTGCAAAACATTTACATTTACATTTGGATCCCTGCAAAGTCACCCAGCCCACACATGAGCTCTACTATTACACTGGAGGCAATTGTCTGGAATACAGTCGGGACGTAGTTCGAAGGTCAGGTCAGTCGGGTCCTCAGGTCTTAATTTTTGTCGATGTCTGTTTGCGGCTCGAGCAATATGGGCAGGCTTAGGCAGTGATGGGCAGGGTCCTTCATGCAATCTTTCAGACAGAACCTAAAATCACCAAAATCCAGATGATTATTGTTAGATCCTCTCATACATACTCTTAACTTACTATGCAACTAAAAAAAAAAACTTAGTAACATAGGAATCCATCATATACTGCGATTGTGATTATGTAGATATAAATCAATAAGTCTAGATTACCTTATTCACAATTGCAGAGGCTGGCTTGAAGACGTTCGTAGTTGCTTTCTTTTTGACATCTGCAAGTATCTTTGATGTAATGGCTGCCCCTACTTCTGCTGGATGGCTGTGGTTACTTTTACCAAGTCTGAACGTTCCCTCATTCTAATTAATCAAACAATCAACCATTGTAAATATGCAGTAAACCAATCTATATTAACCTGTAAATTAGTCAGTAATTAATGTAAATGAATCATGCCATTATCATCAGCTTTGATAGTAGGTCAGCCAACGTTGAGTTTTAAATCATTACCTCTATTACTGTGGCTGAACAGTACAGTTTCTTAAGCCTGTTGCCGCACTGCCAATAAGTTGTGGCTGTTCCTGTCCTCTTCGATGATTTGGTCCTTCTTCAGGACCAGTAGGAATGCCTCAGGGGGCAGGATCTAAAATTGATGGTTCATTGGTCAATGGAGGTAGAGCGACTGCAGGCGGTTCTGAAAAATAACAACAAAAACAATAAGGATATATATGAGCAACATATATATACATATAACCCGCATCGAATTTAAAAGTTACACAGGTGCGCACACTAATTATTTTAAATTTTAATAATAAACCAGAGTAACATTTTATTGCTCATCATTCATCATTAAATTATTTCATATTTCATTTGAGCACAACTATGAGATTATAGGATTTTTGCTTCTGGACCAATCCCCCCCACCCCCTCGCCCCTTCGGGATCCTTTATAGAACTAAAATTTCATTGAAACAAAACAATATGAGAAACCGCATATGACAGTTATTTTGGAACCGTTATTTTGTGGGTGTGTCTATTACCTTATATGAACTGATGCATTTACATCAGTGTATCCTTTTTTAGCATTTATCAATTTTCATACATCATACATCCACTTTTCATCCACTTAGTATCTTACCAAAGTTTTCAGCAGGGTAAGAGTCATCTTCAGGTATTTCTGAAGAGAAAGCATGGAAGGTTAGGTAATGATAAAAAAGGATTTTGACAATTGCTACAGAGGTTGAATTATATGCAGTAATGATAACAGTCTTTGACAAAAATGTATTATTCACTTACCATAGATTGGTGTACTTTGAAAGAGGGAGGAGGATCTTTGTTATCTCGTACTGCAGCACGGGACTCTTGGCGGGTAATGTCAGTGCCACATTACTATGACACCAACGATTACAGGAATCACATAGTATAGCCTCTTGGCAGTTGGTAACTTCATTATTGCAGTTCAAGCATGGATAAGCCATCAGTATTCAGGTGTAGAATTTCGCTCTTGTAGATGATACTCGTTATAATCGAGAATGACTCAAGCATTTTGCGACCTCTTTTATACCATGGCCAGGATCAATAAACAAAGAAAAAAACTGCTATTGTCTCACAGCAAAACAATAACAGATGTGGAAAAGTGGATTGAACAAAGACACTTTATATTCATTTACCGAGCGCGTGTAAACAACCTCAAGAACAATCCAAACACTTTAATTACAGTATCAATTAAATTGGGCGGGGCGTCCAATTATCAAGTTAGCGTCCTTTTTCGCGTTGTTAATGTCAAAGGACTTTGTGTTGTTAATTTCAAAGGACTCTCTTAAGAAGTTTCTTCGGAGCGAAATGGCCTTTGAGAATGGTTGCAAGATCACCGTAAGTTTTCTCGAAACGAGCTTCTGGTGAGCACAGGTCTGATAGGACGTCGCACGCTTTGGAACCGACGACGGATATCAAAATTGCTCTGCGTTTGAATCGTTCGTTTGAATCCGAAGTCACACCGCCCGTTATAAATGTATATTTCGTTGTCAGTAATATTTGTTCATCGTGAATGAAAGAAATTGTTTTAAGTTCCATAAAGTCTCTAAAAGAGACTTTAAGTTACACTATTACGCTATTATAAAACGCCAAACGTCGAAACTAACAGGTTTCGCAATGTTTGCGCTATCTTTACCATTTGTCATCCAAGTCAAATTTGCATAAACAATAATCGACACAATAATCCACACAATAATCGAGCAAAAAGAGTTTTGAAAACCATTATAAGTAACTGAAGTTTTATAAAGCAGAGGATTTTTATTAGTTTATAGTTTTTCAAGTGAAACGTTGGTTATTATGTATACAAGCTAAGCGTAACATTCAATCGAAGAAGTTTTGATCACTCTAAACAGCGTGTTTGGACAACAATCGAATGCAGTCCTAGAGTTTGATACCAAGTTGTAGTGTTTGCGCTATCTTTACCATTTGTTGCTAGAAAAGAAAAGCACATCCCTAAATCTCACTGATTATTCTCGTCATCCAGAAGGAATTGAACTTCTAAAACTACCGTGCGTGAGACTGAACGACTTCGGACTTCGTGTACCCGAGTCGCGCCGAGTTGTTGCTCTAATCTGCACTTCTTAAGCCAAAAATATCGGGTAAAAATTCCTTAGATTATAATTTAGAGCTAATTTAGAACTTAATAGTCTGTAGTTTCAGGTATCTTATTTATCGGGCGTTGTGACTTCGATTTCGGGCGGAGTGACTAGCGGGCGGAGTGACCAGCAGGCGGAGTGACCAGCGGGCGGAGTGACCGCAATTCCTTTAGATGGTAATTTCGTCACCTAAACACAAGATTCCCACCCGTGTTTCTAGCCCGTTTACATTTGTCCTTAGCGAGAATGTATTTTGTCAAGGTATGATTGTTCTATTAAATCCAGTTTGTGTTTTTATTTCTGTTGAATGCTTCATGTTTATAAGATCGACGTACGTGTTGCAGTTTTCGAGACTTGATGACCTCCAAAACACTGGCTTCGATCGATTGAAAATTGTACTGTTTGGACCTGTATTTTTGAAGCTGCAGGAAACAAGGCGATCTCACATTGTCACGCGTTTTAATTCGTAACTCCAAATAACCAATGTAAATTGTTCTGTAAATTGCAGTGGAATTCGTCGGATAAGCGAAAAGGATGTGTTCCCAAAGCGGTTCGCAGATGTTACACAGTCATATTTTCGGCACTATTGCACAGAATCTTTGTCGCACTGCTGATTTCCGAACCTTCGAAAAACTGCGAGTCTAACAATTTTGTTATCATGTTATTCTAAAGGATTAATCTTCGACTTTCATCTAAATCGAAAGAGAAATAAGTGTTGGTTAGCGGCGTACAGTTGCGACCTATTTACAATCAGTGTATCGGTCGTAACGCTTCTCGATCATGATCGATAACACAACTTTGCCGGTTATGTTATAGATACTGCGGGATTGGAAGATATAGGTTGTCGGTAGTATTTCTACAAATTGCGGGTTAGCTTTAAGCAGAAAATTTATGAAAATAGCGTTTGAAAGTCTGCGGAACAAATTCCAGTGACAGTTCTTCAATGGTTCTCACAGACGGCAGTTCGCTTGTTTCGGTTCGACAAAATCAACCATCGTTTACGTCTTTATTGTACCATTAGCCGATCATCGCAGTAAATTGTACAGTATATCTTTCTTTAAATCTGGGATATTGCTGCAACAGCCAATAGCACCTCTGGAAGGCGTTTCTGCGCACTTTTCGAATGTGTATTGCACCATCTTGAAGGAAATGAGAGGACGTGATCGAGATATCCAACCTTCCTGGGTAGACGTCACAACAGCCGCTGGACCCATTCTCCTCAAATTCGGTCGCGAAACAAAATGGCGGTGTTTTGAAGCTATTTTCGAGATTTCGTCGGGGCACAGAAAATCGAGGATTTAACCGAATCCAAAAATTTTTCCGCAGAAGTATTTTAAATAACAAGTAGATTCGTTTTAGCGAAAAAAATAAAATAAAATAAAATAAAATTGGGTTTAGGTGCACTTTAAGAAAGAAAGCTGTTGTTAATAGTGTTATTATCGTATTGTTCGTATCGTTAATGCCCATACATATTCCAAAGAAAGTTCCAGATTAAGACCATTACGTCGTCGCAGATTTCACAGCGGCTAAGAGCAATGGTGCAATGATACAGTTTGTGTTGATCAAGTGATGTGGTGTCTACAGTAATCAATGAAATCATCAAGGCCTGCTTTGGAATGTGCACTGCGTTGTGACTGTAGTCCTAAGAAAACGGTTAAATTTTTAAAAGCGCGGTTATAAGATCTAAAAGATCTTCTATTTGGTTACTCATTGCGGCCACTGATTTATTACTCATTGCGATAGAATTAAAGTAGAGTAAGTAAAGTAAAACCTTTATTTAAGTGTCTATGTGTTTAGCCTAGATAGACTAATTGGGGACACTAGTAAAATAGCAACACTAATTGACATACGGTGCTTATAAAATCTGAATATTTACTGGAAAATGATAGAAACTTAATGAGCATAAGAGATCCTATGTTAGCTTATTGATTATCCATTGATTATCCATTGATTATGCATTGATTAGTCATTTGTTACCTCTGTAATTATGACCCAGCCAAACAAAATTCTACGATCTCTATGGTAGCCTGGGACTGCCATAAAAAAACCCATTGTTTTTGTTTTTGCTTTTTCAGTTGTATCTTCTCTGTTTCGTTTAATGTCATTTTGGTTTTTTCAAATCACAAAAATATTTTAATTTAAAATCAAAAGTAAATAAATCAAGAAATTAACTTAAATCAAAGAAAATATGTCAAGAAACAAAATAAAAAATGATTTTAATAATGAAAGTAATTTCAAACGTAACCAAAATTTGCTGCGAAATAAATTAAAAAAAGAAAAGAAAAAATAGTTGGAAAAAAAATAGACATTTTAAACTAAATTAAAAACAAAATGTCTATGGCCTATCGCTGCCATAGCGGAAAAAAAAAAAATAATAAAAAAACGC